ATTATAACCTATAAATTAAATAGATAGAATACTGATTATCATTTACAACATTAAACAAATTTTTGATTAAAATAGTCTTACAAATCTGTATATATAGTAAGTTTATTCTATAATAGTTACAATAGATTTGAATCTGTCTATTTTTGTGTCCAAACCTTCAATTAACTGTTATGGTTCCATAACCACTTATATGGGTTATGGACATATGCAAATTTGTACAATACAATTTTCGATGATAGTAGAATGGTATAGAAAAATAGAAAATAAAAGACTAATAGAGAAAACAGCTTTTAAGGAAACAGTGCTCTGCGATTAGAGTAGGACTTCGATGCTACAACTAACCCTAACCACTAGTAGTTATAATAATTTACATCATTTTTATAAGTACATATTTAAAATACTATGTTTTTGCATTTGATATAATTATTAATATTTTTAGAAACCCTATCAATAAAACAACAACTACTAAGACTATTATTTATACAATAATTATTTATACTAAGATTAATGCTAATACTCTGATGTTGACCCTAATTTTTGTTCGCTGATTAAATAATTTATTTATTTTCAAGTGAAATATTGTAAATAATCCAATAAAAATTGATAATAATTTAAAACAGAATAGAGACTATAAAGAATATAAATTTAATAATAAAGAATAAAAATCAAATTCAAATTTAAAAAGAAAAATATACAATAAGAAAAAATCACATCTGACCCATAAAATTTCTTAATCAAATTCATTAATTATGCAAGTATTTATTCGCTCATCTTCACCGCAGATCAAAAATAAATATGAAATAATTCTAGGCACTAAAGCGCAAAATAAACACGATTTAAAATAAAAATTAAATTAAAAGATTAAATTAAATTAAAGAATTTTTAGGGTTAAAAAAAAAAGAAAAATCAACTAAAAACTCGAATTTATTTTCGCAAACAATTTTTTTAATTAAATTAAATGCTAATTAATGTAGGCTGAGATATAAATTGGAAATTAAAAAAAATATATTTATTAAAATATTAAGATTGTTTAGTCACTTAAGTTGAAAGGATTAACTTTTTATATAAATTTTGTCCTTGCAAAACCAATAACTACTTCCCCAAGTGATTTTCCAAGAATCATTTCAAGTTCATTTTATTAAATTTTTAAAGTTGAAGGTTTTTATAAATAAATGCATTTTTTTTCTTTTAAATAAAATATTATCTCATGTAAAATGAAATTTTTTTATATGGAAAGCAATTTATTACTCTTCTTGATTCCTGTGAGTTAACGTCATGCATTGCAGATTGCAGCCGACATTCATTAATTTCAGGGCCAATGTTAATGTCACACACAACTTTTACAAGCGCCGACATTTCCTGAAATTCCACCTAAAATCCAAAAAATCCAAAAAGATACACAGAAATCTATATTGCAAGTAGCTTTAATGGCCAATATATCGAGATAATTTCTCACTCACAATTCAATTCAGCAGCACCTATCGTACATCTCGTTTCGTATGTACGTACGCCCCTGAACCCAAGACAGAACTACAATATCTCAATGGCTACATAATAGCCTAACTAGTTTTGCAGCTTTAA